AAAATTAAAAGGCTAAAGACAGTTTCAAGAAGGTCATTTTTCTCATTAGGAGATAAAGAACCTGGAAGCGCTTTATCTCTTTCAAGAGCTTTCGAGCACTTCTGATGCACAAGAACAACTCTCATGTTTTTCCTCCACATGTTAAAATCACCCTTCCCATCAAACTTCTCCACTTCAACTTTTGCAGTAGTCATTTTCTTGCAAGAAAAATAAAAAACCAGAAGTGACCAAAGAAAAACACCGAGAAAAAATAACAAGAAAATTAAAAGGCTCTTGATACCACTTATAAACTTATTTTCCTTCTTCGGGGTTAAAAACCAGAACATATAACAAAAGAAAAATAGCAGGACACCAAGAAATTACTTAGTTCAGAAACTCAGGGTTAGTGGATTTCCTACATCTAAGGCCAAAAGGGTTAAAATCCCCTGGCTATTTGCATTAATATAAAATGAAATGAATGTACAAGGTTCAGGAACACTAGAACATGTGCCTATTATGAAAAAAAACCAAAAAAACCCCAAATATACATGCAAACAGAAAACCTTAGAACCGAAGATTACAACTACAATCCAGAAAATAGAGGTAAATAGAAACAAAACACAACAACCATGTATCAGGAATAAGGACTTCTGTTGCGACTTCGGCAAGTGCACCGGTCGTAGAGTAATAAAGTGTACCGGAGTACAAGATCGTTCCCACGAGGATCGGATTTTCAAACACTAGTTCGCTAATCGCGATTTAGTTGGACAATCAAGAATAGGATTTGAGAGTATTGAATTGTAATTAAAAACAATCAATAACATGCAATTTTAGAATTAAAAAGACAATTAAAAAGATGATTAATGGATGAAGAAATTAAAACAAGCGTAGTTAAGGTTTCGATTTCCCCCAATCTCCTCTATATGCTATGAATTAAACACTCAAGAATCTTTTCTTAAAATAATGCCAATCAATTCATTCTAAGTTAATTACGGCTCAATTGGGCGCTTGGACGCCCTGAATTGCTAATTAAGCTGTTTTTCCTGCCTGCACGCACTTGAGCGTCCATTCTGTGCGCTCGAGCGTGATATTCTGGCATTTGACTTGTAATATTTTGGCTTCCTTTGGTCCATCTTGAGCCGCAACTCTTTGTAATGAGTTCTTCATCACTTTTTAGCACCAATAAGTGTGGTTTTACCTTCAAAATGCAAAGAACTTCAAAACGTTAGCTCAAATTCATACCTTATGACTTATATGTTGTAAAACCTTGAATTCCATGCAATCTACTATATAATTCTTGTGTAATTTAGCCTAAAAACATGGTTAAACCAAAGGTTTATCAACTTCGCAGTTGAAAGCCTTCTGATACAGGAGACCCAAGCTTCGAACGATTTGCTCATTTTCAACCTTGGAAACCACCAAGAAACACCTCCAACCCAGGTATACTTTAACCTGCAAAATAATACCCGTAAAGAACATATGCAAGATCTTGGAAAGAATAAGATTAACACTGGTTAGCACAACAAGAATGAGTTTCTTCAGAAACCCTAATAAAACTCCATTTGGGATTTTTGAGAGCAAGATAAAGTAAAACTATCAAAAATGAATATTCTGTTAGCTGAAAATAAAATATTAAGTTTAGAAATAATAGTCATGTGACTTACATAACTAAACAAGTATAAGCTAACAAAGGAAAATATCACTTAAGCTAAACACAACATTTTGCTATACCTGTAGCTAATAGGAAAAATACAAAAAGTAAATACACTGATGCACACACAAAATGCATGATGTTAGTGTGCTTTGTGTAATAAATACACAATAACTACATTACTAATCATTAGACTATTAATAACCAATCAATGTGACTATGTTACTAACAACCTACTTCGACTATTAATGTCACTACATCATTGATAACTTACTTCACCTGTTCATATCACTGCACTACTACTTAAGGGTGTGCATGGAGCGGTTCATAACCGGTTTTAATAAAAACCGAACCAAATCGGTTTTAAACGGTTTGATTTTCAAACTAAACCAGTTTTCTTCTCTTAAAACTGGTTTTTAATTTTCTAAACCGGTTTGAAACTGGTTCCAAAACAAGTTTATGGTTTATAACCGGTTTTGATTTAAAACCAGTTTTAAACTGATTTTAATTCAAAACAAGTTTTAAATCAAAACCGGTAATGAACGATAAACCGGTTATCAAGTTCAAAATCAGTTTTTTTAACAAATTCAAAATCAGTTTTTGATGGATTGTGCTATTTATATAAGTAGCCATTTGTTTCTCCCGGTTATAGGTAGTTGACCAACTATTTCTTGCAAGAATCTTCATTGATTTGGAACTCTCCGAACGAAATGATTCTTATAGAAATTGTTTCACGTTGTTTTGAGAGTGATTGGTAGAAGAACAGTTGAATTATTTTAAAACTATAAAAAAAAATTGTTCTTTGTTCTCTCAAGATTTATTTTACTAAGAGTTTCATTTGAACTGATGGAGGAAGGTATGGGTAGGGGTGTTCAAAATGTACAAAAGAACTTAATCAATCTATAACCAAACTGCTCCACATTTTAAAATCCCGTTATTTTTAAAAATCAGTTTCATATAATTGTATTTTATTTTTATAAACTGGTTATTTACCAAACCATAAAAATAATTGGTTATCCATAACCAAACTGCTCTATAATTAAAGAACAAATAAGTAAATCCATTGTGAGTTGTCCTTTTAACGGTACTCTCAGAGACGTTAAACCAATTGATTAATTTCGTTGCTCTTTTCGTTATAATTTTTTAACTTCATCTTTGTCATTTCAAAGACTTCGCCTTGTCAAGTTATGAGTTTGCCTGGAGGCCTATATGTGTTTTTTTTTTTTTTTTTTTTTTGGGAAAAAAGTTGTTATGTTACATAAGAAGTGTTTTCTTAGGGTGCGATCTTTCGATTTATGTGTAATTTTTTTTTTTAAATAAATGTTTTCTACTTGAGTTGCTTAATTTTTTTTGCTAGTTTATTCTTTGGAAGTTTGAGTCAATTGACTAATATAATAGGCATGATTAAAGATAATACTTATTTGTTCTTTAATTGTAGAGCAGTTTGGTTATGGATAATCATGGATAACCAATTATTTTTATGCTTTGGTAAATAACCAGTTTATAAAATAAAATGCAGTTCCATATGAAACCGGTTTTTAAAAATAATCGGTTTTTAAAATGTGGAACAATTTGGTTATTGATCGATTTAGTTCTTTTGGAAATTTTGAACACCCCTACTACTACTAAACTACTTAACTTATCCATATCATAACATTAAAAAAATTAAATAAGAAAGAGTTGGGAACTTACTTGAATTGGCGCTTAGAGGGAATCCTATAGAAAGAAAAAAAGGTTGAAACTTAGGGGTGGGAAAAAATGAGAAGGGAATGGTGTTTATATAGGTTGAGGCATCAGACCAATGTTATTGCGCCACATGGACCAGTGGGAACAAATCCAACTGGGTGACTATGCATAACCATTCATGCATGTGGGACCAGCGAGATTGGTCATGTAGAGACTGCTAACATAACTGCCTCACTGATCAATGTTGCTAAAATGTGGTTCTATTGGGATTTTTTGACTGTGCTAATGTGTTTTTCGAAATATTTCACCAATTTAGTTCTTTGACCAGACGTATTACCAGACTAATGTAGAAAGACGCGTGTCAGGTGGCTACGTGTATAGTCACGCACCAGACACATGCGCATATTACGTGGCAGACGGACTGAAATGCGCACCTGATACTGACGTGATCAGACGCGCACCTAGTACTGGCGTATTTAGACGCACACTTGTATTAACGTGTTTAGAGGTATATGTGCATGTCTCACTTTTGTTATCACATGAAACACGCATGTGTCAGGTGCGCGACTAAATACGTAACCTCATAGTACGCGTCTTTCTGCATTAGTCCGATAATATGTTTGGTCAAAGAACTAAACCGGTGGAATATTTTAAAAAACACATTTGTCAAGTCGAAAAGCCTCTTATTGGTGACATCAACAGAACTTAAACAAGTCAGGAAAAATAAAAGTTTCGAAGTGTGGCACTTCTGCATTCTTTTTGCTAAATCGTAGCACTTTGCTGTTTATTCGAAACAAAAATATATAAAAATAAAAAATATAATACTTTTATAATTGTCAATATAGGTTAAAAAAGTGAGCGAAACCTTGGAATCGTAGCAGTACACAGAGAACATTTGTCCTAACTTTCTTTGTTTTTAACCTTTTGGGGTCAGAGTAAATTAGGGCTAACAATTTAGATTGGCACTAGAAGACATTACACAGTACGAATTTGACATGAATACGAGTACACTGAATACGAACATGACACAAATTTAAAATTGAGTTAAATTCTTCGAAATGAACACGACACACTTATTTTGTTAATTGATATGACACAATATAAATAATTTATAACTTCAAAATGTGTTACTTATTATAAGGTTGACACGACACGACAATACACAAATAAACTATTATGATAGGACACATAAAGAATAACCTATAAGAAGATTAAAAGAGATCAATTTCGAATTTGCGGATTAACATGCAATTCGATATTAATTTTTTTGTGTCAATTTTTGCTAACATGAATACGATACGAATTTAAAAACGAAATAACTAGAACACAAAATTTTTAATATCATGTTCATATGAGGGGGTCATGTTGAAAATTGTCACCCGTGAAATAAACAAAACACTAAGCGAGTAAACCCATACGCCTTAAGCAAAGAAATCCATAAATGATGGAAGATCGCTTTATAATTAAGTTTAAAATCTAAATGTGATAAATGTAAAATAATTTCAGGTAGTAAGTTAATAATTAGCTATTTAATAATTTTCTAATAAAAAGTTTTATGCTAACAAGGAAACTTAAAAACATTCAACAATTCTTCTCTTACGTTAGTTCTATCGTGTTCTAGAATATTCTCCCGTTTGTTAGATTACGAAACGACGACGTGGCATAGCCTTCTCAGTTCTCTGTGACTTATCTATCACGCTTCTCGCACTGTTTCCTCTTTCGTCTCTTCTCTCTCTGAGAAGACACAGAGATGAAATGAAAGAGAATGGTAGCACTTGTCCTCTCCTCAACCCAAATTCCCACACCCTAGAATAGTCGAATCCACGTTCTTATGCAAATCCATAAATACCCCTCACTCTCTCTCTCTCTTTCTTAGATCTTCGCAAATGAAATAAAACCCAAAAGTCGAAGAAAGAGAAACACACACACACAGAGCACAAACCCAAACGAAACCATTTCTCTCTCAATTTTCTCTCCGATTCTCAGCTTCCAATCAGATTCCATTCCCTCTTTTCTTCCTTCCTTCACGCCGAAGTTCCAATCGGTACGTTGCTTCTCTCCTCGTTAATCTTCCTTCCTTTTCTTATTGCTCTTTGCTTCACTTGTTTTGTACTGGAATAATAATAATAATAATAATTATAATCATGCTGCGGGAGCTAGGGTTAGGGTTTATCGTAGTCCTGGCTCCCTTGATCGTTTCTCGGTTTGTGTATCGGGGTTTTGAACTCGATCTCCTTCAAGCTCATGGTGTTGATTCTTGGTTCCTGATTGCTTTTCTTCTTCTTGTTCTTCTTGTGTTGTTGTTTATGATGATGGCGGGGTTTCGTCGCGTGTTCAGCAGCTTACTGTACTATATGCTTCCTAGAAAGAGACCTTGCGAAGGAGTCGTTGTAGAAGAAGACACTGACAACAGAAATTTTGCCAAGAATAATCGGATCGCCGCCTCCTGTACAGCCGGTTCTACGTTGAACAAGAACAGCAACCGGAGCTTCAGTAGCAGTAACGACAACAACAACAGCAGCAGCAGCGGGAATCCACTTGAAGGAGCGTCAATCATGGCTTTGGGTGAATCCAACCCACCGGACATCGATGAGGATTTGCACAGCCGTCAGCTTGCCGTGTATGGTCGAGAGACCATGCGGAGGCTCTTCGGGTCTAGCATTCTTGTTTCGGGGATGCAGGGTCTTGGTGTCGAGATTGGTATAGTCTTCCAACACGCACTATTGTTGATTGCTTTTAGCTGAATTAATGTTTGTTGAATGGATATTAGATTAGATTTGGGATTACTCTATTCCATTTTTGCTTTTTGTGCACCCTATGTTTTATGGTGATTCTTATCTGTTTGAACTAAGATATATTTAAATATGCAGAGTTTAGGAGACTCTAAGAATTATGTATCCTACATCCACTTGAATGCCAAATTTGATTTGGTGACCCACTTGATAAAACTCTGTCATTTGTTTTCTCCCCCTTTTTCCTGGAGCTTTCAGCTCTATGTTTCTCGCTGAAGAAAATCGTTCAGTCCTTAGATAATGGGATTGATGCTAGTGCATTCCGTGATTTGGTCCTTATTTCCCACTCCGATCTGGAAAACGGATGCAGAGTGTGGGAACTGTCCTTGTCCATAGTCTTTAATTTGTTTGTTGCTCATAATGATTGATTTCAATGGAAATGATTGCCAGATGCCCGAATTCATTCTTATAAACTTTATGTTGTTAACTTAAGGTTATTAATTTATCATGATCTGTATCTCCGTTTGCATTACTTTTCTAATTCGTTGTTTTTTTATCTTCTTTAGGCAGCCTTGCTACCTGAAATCCTCAGTAATCATTTATAGCATATTATTATCAAGAGATTTTTTATTACATAATTCTATATGAACTATTCTATTGGTTTTGTGGCTTATTTTTTTATTTAATGGTTGAGATATCTAGGTTCAAACTTCAATTAATGCTAGCTCTGTAATAATTAATCATGCTTTTATATTCTGATAAAGTTTACTACTTGCAGCAAAGAATCTTATTCTTGCTGGTGTCAAATCTGTGACCTTGCATGATGAGGGGACTGTAGAGCTATGGGATCTGTCCAGTAATTTTGTGTTTTCAGAGAATGATGTTGGCAAAAACAGGGCAGTGGCTTCTGTTAGTAAGTTGCAGGAGCTCAACAATGCGGTTGTTGTACAAAGCTTGACAACTGCGTTGACAAAAGAGCAGATTTCTAATTTCCAAGTACCTACCTCTCTTACTTTCTGCTCTTCCTTTTTTAAATGAACTTCATGTTATTTTCTGTTAAATGTATTTATATTTATTTATGTATGCTCTGTTATGCTTTGGTAATAACAAATAAGTCACTACTCACTAATCACTTTTCAGTCATAACAGAATATTATTTGTTTATTAACACTCTCTCTCTCTCTATATATATATATTCGTATCCATAGGTTTTGAAATGGCAATGTAGTTGCTACAAATGGGGTCACTTGTAATAGTGATTATTGCTATTTAACAATTTTTTTTTAAAAATATTTTTCTAACAAATGAAATGACATAAATAAACACACTTGCCTGTATATTTTATTTCTTACTCCTTTCCATGAGATTTGTTCTTTTTGTGATTTGTATAATCCTGAAGTAATATAACAGAGATTGATCTCGTTTGTTGTATAATGCTGTAATTTAACGGGAATTTTCTCTTTTTATTTCCAATCATAAATGCATTTGTATCTGGTTTATTTACAATTGGTTATTTACTATTTTGTAGGCTGTTGTTTTCACTGATATCAGTCTTAAGAAAGCCATTGAGTTCAATGATTACTGCCACAGTCATCAGCCTCCTATTGCTTTTATTAAGGCTGAAGTTAGAGGCCTTTTTGGTTCTGTGTTCTGTGATTTCGGGCCTGAGTTCACTGTTTCTGATGTTGATGGAAATGAACCACATACCGGCATAATTGCATCCATCAGCAATGACAATCCGGCTCTAGTATCCTGTGTTGATGATGAGAGGCTTGAGTTTGAGGATGGAGATTTTGTTGTATTCTCTGAAGTTCATGGCATGAAAGAATTGAATGATGGGAAGCCAAGGAAGATTAAAAATGCTAGAGCGTATTCTTTTACTCTTGAAGAAGACACCACAAATTATGGTATCTATGAGAAAGGTGGTATTGTCACACAGGTCAAACAACCAAAGGTATTGAATTTTAAGCCACTCAGGGAAGCACTCAGTGAACCAGGTGATTTTCTTCTGAGTGATTTTTCTAAGTTTGATCGTCCACCTCTCCTTCACTTAGCATTCCAGGCTCTGGATAAGTTCATTTCTGAGTTAGGTCGCTTCCCTGTTGCTGGTCTGGAGGATGATGCACAGAAGCTTATATCTATTGCTAGCAACCTTAATGACAGCTTAGGTGATGAGAAATTAGAAGATATAAATCCAAAACTTTTACGACACTTTTCTTTTGGTGCTAGGGCAGTACTGAACCCTATGGCTGCCATGTTTGGTGGAATTGTTGGACAAGAGGTTGTCAAAGCATGCTCTGGGAAGTTTCATCCACTTTTTCAGGTAATTACATTTTTTAGGTTTTTTCTTTTAATCATTTTCTCTGATATTTTGAAACATTTTGTATTGTAGAATTGAAACCAAGCCTAGATGAAATACCTTTTCATAAGGTTACTCCCCCTTTTTAGTAGTTAGCTGATTGATGGTGTGGGTTCAGTTTGGTGCTTCAGTTGATATCTTTTATTTTGTTGCTTCTTTTATAGTATTCTTTACCTATTGAACAATGCAAGCAGTGTCTAAAAAAGATGACAACCCTTTACATCTGTTGAAGGAGACTTATGTTGATTCTTCTTATAAATTAAATTTGATCTTGACTAAGAATTTATTGTTTGGGTTCGTTTTTTTTTTTTTTAGTGTGTCATTCATCTACCATTCAAGTATTGAATTATCCCCTCCCTCTCTCTGTACATTCTCTAAACAATTAGATAATGTCTGAAACCTAGAGGCTGAGCAAGTGGACAAAACAGGGATTCAATCCTTGTTCAGAGCCGCAGCTGTTACTGGTGTGATTTTGACCACGAGGCCGCAATCTCAGCAGTTAAGAGAATAAAGAAATGAGAGAGAAAGGAAGAGAGTCAGAGAGGAAAAGACTTTTGAATACTTGTATTATTCAAGCTAGATTACTCTAAACAAGGAGTAATCTATTTATAGGATACAATAAAGCTTCCTTTAGAAGGATGAGCCACACCTGTCGCAGCCAATATAACAGAAAGCTAACAGTCATTAATAGACCTCCTAACTGCCTATTCTATAGGCTTGGTTGCAGAGACTGCAACCAAGACTACCAGCCCAGTACAGAAGCTACATGCAGTTCTGTAAAATATAATATAATACATAAAAAATACATTTAATTCTCCAATATGCAGCGATCTGAGCGATGTGATAGAGAACTTAAAGCAGACATAGGTGGCTCTACCCTGCACCACTACAGCAGTGTGATTTGCTAGAGAAATCATTAATGGCAAATAGTTCCATTGTCGTGCTGTGTCTATTTTCTGTTCGCACCTCAGCCTCCATTTTCCGGTCAAATCCTGGTAGCTCACATATATTCCGGCCAAGCTCAGCCCCTCTATTTCAAGCTATGATGATTGTGTCTTTGAGATGACTCTTGAGCATCTATTATGTATATTAGATATTCTTTGCGTTGTATTCCCTATCTTTGGTATAGTGACCTCTCCATGATTCACTAAGCCCTTTTTGGAGTCAGACACTTTGCTTTACTATTTTTGGTTGACTGCTATGGCAGCTGCGTCATTGAATCGTAGTAGTTAATTGCGCCGCAATAGCGCCGCGAGCCACGCCGTATGGGCGTTGTGGTGCCTCGCCGCAAGAAACTGCGCCGCGCCACACCGGAACGCAATAGCAGCCATTGCCATCGCGTTTGCAGCCATATTGCTGTCATAAGGCAAAATGACAACTTTGTCCTAAATTTAAATGTGTCACAAAAAAAAATTAAGGGTTTTTTAGTCTATTCGCGTCTCTCTATGTCACTTTTACCATCTCTGCCTTTAAGAAATGGTTCTTTTTGTCATTATTTCTGTCAAATATCTATTCCGCTATTTCCGCAACCGCAACTCGCTATAACGCTATAGCGTTTTTCGGGGTTGGCCGCGACATGCCGCAGTCCGCATTTGATAACTATGTGATTGAAGTGATGTGGATATATTAAAAAGAATCAAATTATTCATATAATGACAAATCATAACCAAGTAAGACTTAAATGCAAACTAAGTCTTGATAATTCTTTAAAAACAAAGTAATCCAAATTGACAATGCTAGAAACATAATAATGTTAAGTACACATCCAACCGAATGCAAGTCAAGAGGTCAAGTGAGATACATAGTGGCAAAGATTATAGAATAATGGAGATTAAGTGAGCTATATGCTGGTTGATTTAAACTGATGATGATTTAACGTTGCTTTGAAATGGGGATGATGTGACATCATGCTCAATAGTCACAATATACTGGTATTATGGTTTGGTTATTTCACAGGAATTGTGAGGTAGTCTATTGGTAAATATATGTTTAACTGCTCTGCGAACTGATGTTTATCATGTTTTTTTATTTGCCTCTTTAATTAGCATTATCTTCAAGCTTACAATATGTATCTTTGTTTTTTTATTGTGGTTTTATTTTTTGCTACCCTGCAGTTTTTCTACTTTGACTCTGTGGAATCACTTCCTCCAGAACCACTGGACCCTGAGGATTTTAGACCAGTAAATAGTCGTTATGATGCACAGGTTTCAGTGTTTGGACGGAAGTTACAGAAGAAGTTAGAGGATTCTCAAGTGTTTGTTGTTGGATCTGGGGCTTTGGGATGTGAATTTCTAAAAAATCTTGCTCTCATGGGAGTTTCTTGTGGGAGTCAGGGGAAGTTGACAATTACTGATGATGATATTATAGAGAAGAGTAACCTAAGCAGGCAGTTCCTCTTCCGTGATTGGAATATTGGACAGGCTAAGTCCACAGTTGCTGCTTCAGCTGCTGCATCTATAAATCCTGGCTTTAATATTGAAGCTCTGCAAAATCGTGTTGGCACTGAAACTGAAAATGTTTTTGATGATACCTTTTGGGAAAACTTAAGTGTTGTGATAAATGCGTTAGACAATGTGAATGCGAGACTATATGTTGATCAGAGATGTTTGTATTTTCAAAAGCCTCTTCTTGAGTCTGGAACTCTTGGAGCCAAGTGCAATACCCAGATGGTCATTCCCCACCTGACAGAAAACTATGGTGCATCAAGAGATCCACCTGAGAAACAGGCACCAATGTGTACAGTACACTCATTTCCGCACAACATTGACCACTGCCTGACATGGGCACGATCAGAGTTTGAGGGTTTGCTTGAGAAAACTCCGGCTGAAGTAAATGCATATTTGTCTAACCCAAGTGAATATACTAATGCAATGAGGAATGCTGGTGATGCTCAAGCAAGGGATAACTTGGAGCGCGTCCTTGAGTGCTTGGATGGGGAAAAGTGTGAAACTTTTGAAGATTGTATTACTTGGGCTCGGCTAAAGTATGTGCCTTTGATAATATATTGTTTCTATTTTCTTTTAGTAATGTTCTGGGAGCATATTAGTTTTTCTATGTCCATTAATAAGCATTCTTTACAGGTTTGAAGATTATTTTGCTAACCGGGTGAAGCAGTTGATCTATACTTTTCCTGAAGATGCTGCAACCAGTACTGGAACCCCTTTCTGGTCTGCACCGAAAAGATTCCCTCATCCACTGCAGTTCTCAGCGTCTGATCTTGGACATCTACATTTTGTGACGGCAGCTTCTATTTTACGAGCAGAAACATTTGGTATCCCCATCCCTGACTGGGGGAAGAACCCTAGGAAGATGGCTGAAGCAGTTGATAGGGTGATAGTACCCGACTTTCAGCCTAAGAAAGATGTAAAAATAGTGACAGATGAGAAAGCCACCAGTCTCTCAACAGCTTCTATAGATGATGCTGCTGTTATTAATGATCTTATAATCAATTTGGAGAGGTGCCGGACCAATCTGCCACCGATGTTCAGGATGAAACCAATTCAGTTTGAGAAGGTCTGTCTTTATTTCATTTTGCTTTTTTACTATGATGCTCCTTCCAGCCTCACCCTCCTGATTAAATCATTTCTATAATCTTGTCAATTATGTTTTATATTTTGTTGTTACATTTGAGAATTTTGGATTGGTGGAGGTTGAGTTTGTATTTACTTGGAATGGGATTGTGGATTAAGAGTATATGAACTCTTCATTGTGCATTGTATGTATATTTATCGTGATTGATTTTCATCAACTAAGAAATTGCCAATCTGCTATAAAACTGCAGGATGATGATACAAACTACCATATGGATGTGATTGCTGGTCTTGCCAATATGAGGGCACGGAATTACAGCATTCCTGAGGTTGACAAGCTTAAAGCCAAGTTTATTGCGGGAAGGATCATTCCTGCAATTGCAACCACAACTGCCATGGCCACTGGTCTTGTCTGCCTGGAGCTCTACAAAGTTTTGGATGGGGCCCACAAACTTGAAGACTATAGAAACACATTTGCTAACTTAGCACTGCCTCTGTTTTCAATGGCGGAGCCAGTTCCGCCGAAGGTTATCAAGCATCAAGATTTGAGTTGGACAGTTTGGGACAGATGGATTGTTGGAGACAATCCTACCCTCAGGGAACTTCTTGAGTGGCTGAAGGCAAAAGGCTTGAATGCTTATAGTATTTCATGTGGAAGTTGCTTGCTCTATAATAGCATGTTCCCTAGGCATAAAGATCGAATGGACAAAAAAGTAGTAGATCTGGCAAGGGAAGTAGCCAAGATGGACATTCCTACGTACCGTCGTCACTTGGACGTTGTTGTGGCATGTGAGGATGATGATGATAATGATATTGACATTCCTCAAGTATCCATTTATTTCCGTTAGGTTTGTTGCTTTCATCTTCTCAAGTGTTTGAAACTTGGGTAAAAAGACAGCATGTTTGACCCTAATCCTCCGAGTTCATAATGGGTATACAAAGGCAACATTATTGACTATGTCGCATTTTATATGTGAATTGAAAAGCAGCTTTAATTCCTTGTATGTTGTTATCTTTACTTGCCTTAGGGTCTTCTGCATCTCTTCCCTCCCTTTCCTGCTAGGTAAATAGTTGAGAGGTAAATTACATTTCTTTTATTTACTAAAAGAAAGTACATTTTTTTTTTGCTGAGATATGTTCAAGTTACATTATCTTCTCTATTTTGAAAAATTACATTTCCTTCTAGAAATTAAGGAAAATTAATAATTTTATACTTTAGTTTATTTTAACGTAAACGAGATTTTACGAGTAATTTTTTTTTTTTTTAATTTTTTGTGACTTTCAGTGTAACTAATGGTAGGAAGTGAAGATTTTGACTTAGAAGTCAGTTTATAACAAGTGTTTTTAATTAAATTTTATTTTTTAAAATTTCAACTTTTCAAAGTTGGTAATTGTTTAAAATTAATGGTTTTTGATACTGAAAATAACTCATTTATCTCTGTTGGGAGCATTAAAAAAAAAACTAAAAGTAGTGTAATTTTAAAAAATAAAAACTTGATTTAAAGAGTAATTTATTTAACCACCGAAAAAAGGAAGTGTAATTTATCTATAATATAGTTATGATAGGAAGAGTGCAGGCTATTAATTATAGAATGAGATCGGGGAGAGAGGTTTAGATAAAAAAAGTGGAGTCACATGTGTTGAGTAGAATATGCATGTAGAATATGCATATGCATGTATGGAAGGGTAACTTCTTTTGTTATAACTTCATTTATGTAAGGGATTTTTTTTATTTTTTTTTTCTCATTTTAGTTTTTAACAGCAAGATACGGAAGAAGCGTGCGACTTCACTTTCATGTTTATAATTTCTTCAGAAATACCAGTTCCTTTTCTAATTCATTGCAACATATGCGAATAAACGACTATAAGTGTCAAGTCTCGAGTGTGAATATAGTTTGCAAACGAAAAAAAAGCTAGAGTTTTGCTACAAAAAAAAGAGAAAAATCAGAAGAAAATAGCTTGAAACTGAGAGTGAGTTTGCACGACTCACGTGTCTTGGTTTTAAAAATGGATAACGAAACCCATATGGGATTATGTGATTAAGACTCTCTAGTGTGCCTTTGGGAATATATAATTTGCTAGTATAAATACAAAAAACTTACATGTTTATACAGAAAAGGTTAAAGTGCATTTGGTTACATTTATATGTTATTTTTGGACCATTAGATTAAATGAGCTTGTAGAAAATTAATATTTAAGGTAGTTTGATATGAACACTAAAATTGAGAGTTCAAAAGATAAGAATTAATATTCATAAAATCAGAAATAAAATATTTTTTTTGTGTGCAAAATAAACTCTACTGTGTACTTGTTTTCACTGTCATTTGCTAGGTTGATATTTCCCCTTTAGGATAGGGATAAGTGGGTGAAAAATCATTCATGTTTATTGCATACTAGGTTGCACAAAATTTGTTTTGGCATTCCTTTAAATTTGAGAACAAAAAATTAAAAGATGGATTTTTTATAGGCTTTAATGTTTCTAAAGTGAATGTAGATAAGTTATCTACATTTACTCCCAAAATGACGTTATTTTGAGTTGAAAAATTAAAAATTTATAATGAAAAAGACTAGTATAATCCTGAAATAAATTATAATTACAAAAATATCTTGATTTCCGCCTTAAAACGACGTCGTTTTGGACTCACTGTAGATAAGTTATCTACATTAACAGTAGAAAAAGCAAACTTTTTTTTTATGCAAAAAATTCTTCGTGAGTTTTTCACTTGGGACACCAAGCTAATTTTGATTTAAAATTTTGCATACACATCCATAGATGAAACAATAACACAAAAATGGAATAATTGTGTCAGCCACCAAATGCCTATATTTTTGGAAGAGTTTTGAGATGTCTTCACCAACACAAGACCCTTATTGCACGTACCATAGGCACAGGGCATGTAATAGCTGAGAGAGTGAGACACTCTCCCTAGTTAGCACTTGATGAAGAAAAAAACAGAAAAAAAAAAACATAACCACCTTTTCAAGGGAACTAAACTGTTAACTGAGATATAAGAGGTATTCAAGCATCTCTTCCACCATAAGAACCTTAGTATTTATTAAAATAACTCATTTATAGAAAATCTCAATATAACATTCATTTAGTTTTTATCAGCACCTTCATCAAAATCTCTAGAAACTCCAACTCGGAAATCCAGTTGTTTCTGATGCTTTGACCGGCGGCGTTCATCAAAATTGTCCCACCCTTCAAACTGCAATAAAGTCACTGTCTCATGTAACTGTTGTTTCTTAAGCATTACATCCTTCAATGAACTGACATACTGTTATAACAAGCTTTCTCTCGATATTCTAAATATTTGTTTGTTTGAAAACATAATTTAAAAATAAAAGTGTTCACCTGGCGAAGGAGATCAATTGTTATTTCTGTATTATGGAGATCCAGTGTGGAGAGTTGAAGGCAAGTTTTGAATAGTTTAGATGGAAGAGATTTCATTCCATTGTTACTAAGATACAAAGCCTGCATAGTCGTCACAAAGGTGGAGTAAAATGCAGGAAAAGTTAGTAATATAAATACCACATCCATTTAACTTACACATGAGAGGACCATGGAAGATTGATATATTATCTACATTAATTACAAACTCCCCTAAGGTATGCCAACAATACATGCACCTACCTTCTAATGGAAAATGGTGAGTGTTAACTCTGTACAGGGGTGTCAATATAGGTTATGACACGCGGGTCGACCCGCGACACGACACGAAAATTTGTGTTCGGGTTGACCTGTAAAAAAAATCGTGTCGTGTTCGTATTGAGAAAAATGACACGTAAAAAATTCGTGTTGTGTTCGTGTTGATGTATTCGTGTTCGTGCTGACCCATATTTTTTTTAAGTATTTTTTTAAATTTTTTTAATTTCGACCCATTTTTTAAAATATTTTTTTGTCAATTACTATTCTGACCCCTATTTTGAGCATTATTCGTGTCGTGTCGTGTCAACCAGCAAAAAATTCGTGTCGTGTTAATGTTGAAGATTTTAAGACGAATAAAAATTCGTGTCGTGTTCGTGTTGATGTATTCGTGTCGTGTTAAATTCGTGTCGTGTTAACCCGTTTTAACACCCCCTAACTCTGTACTTGAATTTACCCATTTAACCTTGTTATAGTAATAAAAACGGGGAGGGTCATGAGTTCAAATTAGAAAAATAGTCTCTTTGCAAATATGTAAGGATAAAGTTGTGTTGTCCTCACCCTTACCCTCATTAGTTGGGGTTTAACCTTATTATAATAATAAAAAAAAGTTTTATTATAATAATAAAAAAAAGATTGCCCTCACCTCTACCCTCGCTAGTCAAGGTTTAATGGGGAGTGGAGTGGTAATAAAAAAGTTTTTTTCCCCATGTAATTGCAAAATTAACTCAATTTTGGACACATTTTCTTTCTAATTACCTACCATCTAGATTCAATTTATTACATGCCTATGAAGGAGAGGAGTATTTTGAAATAAGATACACTGACATCACGGAAGGAACATCTCTAATGGGAGTATTTTGAAATAAGATACACTGCTATATGTAATTTCTAAAAGAAGTGCTGTTTATATGATTTCACTATACCTCAAGGGGGATCTAAATAATTTACACATATAAAAGGAATTCATAGGTTGTTAAGAACTACTTCAACCCAAGACCTTAAGGTATTGGGTTATGGCCTTTTTTTAATGTTTTTATATTATTCTTTAACATAGGTGATAGTCCACTGTTTTAAACTTGGAAAAAAGGGAAAAACTCAGTTTATTAATTATTAACCAATCCTTATTCGTGAAGTTTTTTAGAACATGAAATTAGGAGCTTAATTTAATGCATCAATGTGACGAAGTCAGCATATAATTACAGTACCTAAACTTTAAAATTATTTAAAGATAACATGATAAATTGTTAATCAACCAATTGTGGAAGTGGGGAACAGGCTACCTTCAAATTGCTCAAACTGCTAAATGTTTCTGGCAATTCTGACAGAAAGTTTGATGAGAAATCAACCTGCGCCACAAGAAAACCTAGGTAAGCATACTAAGTGTATATACATCATCTAAGAAAAAAGATAATCATTTTGGTTATGTTTTAATTTGCAAATGCTATATAAACTAGGTTGTCCCTTCAGAAAAAGGATTAGAAAAATGAGAGAGGATAGAAGACCAACAACTGTACCTCAACAAGAGAATGGCAGTTCCCTATAGATTCGCAGATGGTACTCATCCTGAGAAAGAGAGACACATCAATCGAAACAATTTTTTTGATCAAATATGACATCACTTAGTAATTTGTTTTTGTTAATAAAGTTATTATAATAGAATTTACTGCATGAGGTAGATGAATTTTGCATAAACAGGTCCGTTCAGCTAAGTAAATTCATTAGCATTGTACCATAGATTTCGGATTAAAACTGGATGAAAAGGATGGATGAAGGTGATAGACTCCCAAGTAAAGAAGAAGAGATTTATAAAAGAACCTCAAACAGAACTCAATTTATTGATGGCAGATTCCAACAGTGATGGCCACAAATTGGAAAACAAAAGGAAAAGTTATAATAGTCGTGATGAAAGTATTACTCGACTACAATTGAACACAAGGAAAATTACAGAAGGAAAAAAAATAAAAGATAAGTCCAGAAGTATTCGAGAGATTCTGGTTTCTCTCCCAGTGCCCAAGTCCAATCCCAAGATCCCAAGATGCTTTGATTCATGCCTTCCCTTCCCTTATATTCAACCAAATCACCTTGTAACTGAATTCATTCCTCTCTCCCCCAACCATTCTGTTACACCACTTATAATCCCATGTGGCCGCTCTTACGCTACACCGAACTATATTTTTTTAATCTTCCAAATTCCTATCAGAGGGCTACTTATGAACCCGCCAACATAGGCACTGGCATACTCAACTTAATATTTATTCATTCTTAAAATTCCAACATGCAAACTGTAAAGTGTTATTTCAACCTAAAAGCTTAAACTGTTAGGTAAAGGCTATAATGACTATTTTATATTACATTACTCTAACACGCCCTTCACACAAGAGCCCGTTGGGCTTGAAGGGTAGAAATGCACATGCCCCACCTACCTATGCTGAGAAACTCTACATTATTTAATTATTTATTATTAGAAAGGAGGCGGTGAGGATTGAACTCGTGCCCACTTGGCCACAAAGGCTTTGATATCATGTAAAGTACCATTTCAATCCAAAAACTTAAGTTGTCAGGTAAAAGCCATATTAATGGTTTTATATTATATTTCTCTAAACCAATAACCTATAAATCAATTAAATGGACCAACTAAACATGGCAAGCGTAGGACAAAGATGAAACAGGGTTTCACCAATTTGACCAAACTTACAATTCCACGAGTTAATAAAGAAATATCAATACTTAAAAAAGTAGAGTTTAAAATGATACCTATTATTGTTGGCTTGCAAAACTTCTAATTGTGTCAGATGCCCTATTTCATTAGGAAGGTCACCCAATTTATTATTGGAGACATGCAGCTCCCTTAACGAGGTTAAAGATCCCAGTGCAGATGGCAAAGTAGTTAAACTGCAGAAATCATGTTAAATAAGCAAACAACACAAAGGGACCAAATTCCCAACCTACTAGAATTGAAATAAAGATCTAGCAGGCAATATTAGGTAAAAAAAAAAATGGAAGTTATTCATCCAGATATGCTAAGAATTTAACAAAATGAACAGAAGTAATATTAAATACCTGAAGTAAGAGGTGTTAGTCTAAGGCACAATGCAAGCAACCTCTAGCATTTTCCATTAAACTTAACAAGCAATATGCTAGAAACAAAAACAAGTATATTTCCTCCCTTTATGAAGGTGTGGACTATGGACAAACAAAAATCCATAGTATGTGTACTCCTGATGTAAATTTATTAGTTGTTTTATGCAAGTTAAACAAAACAAGCACACAATTAAAATTGTAAATGATAATATCTACTCACTGGTTCTGGTTCAATGATAATACTGTTAGGTACTTCAGAGTTGTCAGTCCTTCCCAGCTAATTGATTCATCCAATATTCCATTTGTATTAATGAATAGTTTCTGCAGCATTTTGAAAGTAGCTGGCTATATTAAATATTGCTCCCAATTAAAATATCTGTATATAGCTGAAACAAAAAACCTATAAAGAAAGATAGAAGTTCAGCTTACCTCTAGACCGGTAAGACGCGCAATTTCAACAGGGACATTTTTAATTGAGTTTTTGTTGCAATCTAGAACTCTTGCAGAAGGTCCACAAACCCACACTTCATCAGGTATGGCCTATTTAAATTAAAATTGCTAGGAAAAATAAGAGTATATTTCATACCACAATTGACAAGCAAACAAATCTCATAAAAATGTACATTTTATTTTCCTGGGTTTTCTTTTTCCTTTGTGATTGTTTGCTACTCCCTCTCCTCTCTAGATTCAATACGGAGCAGATTACAGAGCAATTTCTCATGCTTAGCCAATGTTGACTACGGTTAAGTCTAAAGGACTATTCAATATCGTTGTTGGTCTTTCATGAATCATTTATATACTGAATTCAACACTCTGTTTACAGCCTAGGACTTGAGCTGTTTGTTAGAACTCCTTAACTCAACCCTCACATTCTTGTGAGCTCACTCGATTTTTTTTAGGATTTTGCTAGGAGATAAAGAATTCAATGTGTGTTTAGCGTCTACAAACCCGCCACAAACAGTGGTACTTGTTTCTATCCTTCAACTAAGACTATTCAACAGTTAATAACAATACATTATATTCATGTATGACCTGCAAACTTTAGTTTCCAGCAAGCTCTATAATGCTTTCTAGCTCCATGCCTAATCCAAAATGACTAACCAGAGTAATACTTGGAACTCCAATTATTTGCTTATACAGCATATTGCGCTCAGTAGATATCTAATTTAAGACTGAGTGTCAAATCTGTGATTTATTCTTCCTAATGGTTTTCAGGGAGGAGAGGTATGCTAATGCTTTTTCCTCTATGAATTGTGGCATAGCCTATCAAATCATGTTTGGCTGCACAATGATATTTTGCGTTTAAAGTGATGGCCATAAGAGATCTATCACGTCAACAAAAGTGGATGATGTTCTTCTGGTCTGAACAATGAACAATTAGAGGGATAAGAAAGAAATATAGAATATCTAAAATATTCAGCGATCCATCTTGTACTGCATCAAAAATTCCGTTATATATGATGGAAGTCCCAGACTTTCAACTTTGTTCATGAGAATAAACTTCATCAAATTTTATAGAAGTTTGCAAGATTTCTAAGAGATTTTACCAAGTCCCAGATAAAAAATCAAAACCTGGTTTTTCTTTTCCTGTAATAACTAACACTAACAATGACATAGCCCTTCCTGTTAAGCTAATTATATGATACTAGACCTTTCTAAAAAATTTAATAAGGGTTAGCAAAATTGGTAGGATCAAACAACGTTAATAAAAAGGTCTTGGGTTTGATTCTTGCTGGTGATCCTTCATTGCTGGGTCATATGTAGGTACAGCTGTAAGTTCTCATTGAGGTATGTGACATGTCTTAACCTTGGAATGGCAACCTACCCTCCCTTTGAAATTTTTTGTACAAAAAAAAAAAAAAAAACTACTATGAACTATGATGCTTTGATGGATTGTCTTGTAAATGAAGTTAATAGCCTAGCTCTACCCCAGTTATATTTTGAAATAAGCAAACCCTGCATGCCCCTGACATGTGAACTACAGAATACATTCCAGATGCAAAGATGGCATGGAAAAATAACAAAAATAATATCGTATCGTTTTGTTAGCATAATAGGAACTCAAAATGAAAAATCTTCAAAAGTATGTCATTAAGTAAAACTTAACGAGTTCCTCATCTCTCAATTTCCACTTGACATCAAACAAAGAGTCTAGTTGAATTTGAATATATGAAAAACCATGAACAGTTTATTACCTCCAAGTTGCATTCAGACAATGCTATAACTCCTGTTACTTTCCATCGTTCCAACCTGTTCTTAACAGGAATTTTTTTCATGTCATTACTGCAGTCTGAGTGGCTATCATTCCTCAATTTGGGAACAACCTGAGCTTTCTTCAAGATGGGACCATCCTATACAAGAAATCCCAAATCTTCAAGCTGCATTTTTCTGATTTCCACAGAAACAAAAACAAACTCTACACAGTCGCATTTATAAACATTATTTTTTTATCTTCACTTAGAAGCTTGACAAAGCTTATTAAACTTGTGTTATTGTGTATCACTTCTAACTAGCCCCACTCATCTTCCATGTGAAAGGATCTATCTTTGATAAATCATTTATGTTAGCCTTTTTTCCATTAGTTCACTCCATAACCATAAAGCCACAATTCAACATAAAGATGAAATCATACAGTATTGTTAATGACACATCATGCTAGAATACAGTTGAACTTATAAAAGCCTCTAATTTTTCCTTTAAACTTTATTAAACAGTATCTCCATAGCAACCAAAAAATAAAAATAAAAAAGAAACAAAGAAAGAAATGAATATACAATACCCCTTGATATAAACCCTGGGAAGCCACAAGCATGAGCTTGGACCCATTACTCAAGTTGGATGCGGTCAAAGTGATGGGGTCTTCCAAAACCTTTCCTGTTAGATGATTCAATTCACCCATCAATGAATAAATGGGTTTCTTATGGCTCCATAAAGAGAAAGAGAAAGAGAAAGAGAAAAGAGTGAAACCTTTGAATATGAGCTTCTGGCCTCGTGGGAGGACATTGGTGGCAGGTAGAAGAAGGGACTTAAGGTCTTTAATGGTTGAATGGGGTGAAATTGAGATGGGTATTGAGGCACCACTGAACTTCACATTGATGGTTATGGTGGCATTTGGATTGTCCTCGCTCGCTCCAACAATGGCAGAATCGGGTTCCATTTTACCGTTTGTTAAGAAACAAGCTTATTATGAGCATTCGAGGAAAACCATGTACTAGGAACAAGACTCTCTTAAATATTATTAGATTCTGAATAGATTTGGGGGTGTCACTTTTTGGTTTGTGCCTTGCTTTGTTCTGATTTTCATACAAAACAATCTTAATTTTTTGTTTCATACATTTTAAGTATAGAATATGAAATATAAAAATATATTAATTTAATAATTCTTTTTTGGGTTTAGTGAGTGTCCGTTTAACAATGTTAAAAATTGCTAAAAGGACTTAAGGACACTTATTTTCCTTTTATTTCTTAATAATAAAATTTTTCAAGTTCTAATATGATAAATGAAAAATAAAACATAATAACAAGCATGAGTGGAATAATTAAGTTATCAATTAATATGTGTGTAAAATTTCAATTATAAAGTGATTTAAGATGGAAGATGAAAATTTGTGTATGGCATAACTGAAAATAAAATTAATTAAGATAATGAAAATATCCCGTGTGCAATAAATTACACTTGATTTAGCCGCTCCTCCTTTTTTTTTCTTTTTTCTTTTTTAAATACTGACAACATATCTAAAAATCCTTTTCATATATATCCTTAAAATTGACGATGATATTTTTTTGAATCTGAATTGACGATGAAAATTGTATGACGAGTTTTTATCTATATTAGTATATGAAATTTATATTCCTAATTCTCGACCATATATTTTAAACGGACATCAAACTGGTAGAGAAACAAATTCGCGGGTCGCACTGCTTGTGAGGCATCGACAATGATCCTTCCGCAGGTTCACCTACGGAAACCTTGTTACGACTTCTCCTTCCTCTAAATGATAAGGTTCAGTGGACTTCTCACAATGTCGCCGGCAGCGAACCGCCCACGTCGCCGCAATCCGAACACTTCACCGGACCATTCGATCGGTAGGAGCAACGGGCGGTGTGTACAAAGGGCAGAGACGTAGTCAACGCGAGCTGATGACTCGCGCTTACTAGGAATTCCTCGTTGAAGACCAACAATTGCAATGATCTATCCCCATCACGATGAAATTTCAAAGATTACTAGGGCCTGTCGGCCAAGGCTATAGACTCGTTGAATACATCAGTGTAGCGCGCGTGCGGCCCAGAACATCTAAGGGCATCACAGACCTGTTATTGCCTCAAACTTTCGTGGCCTAAGCGGCTATAGTCCCTCTAAGAAGCTGGTCGTGGAGGGTTACCTCCACATAGCTATTTAGCAGGCTGAGGTCTCGTTCGTTAACGGAATTAACCAGACAAATTGCACCACCAACTAAGAACGGCCATGCACCACCACCCATAGAATCAAGAAAGAGATCTCAGTCAAGAATAAGGTTTAGGACAGCTCTCAGTCTCTCCTAGGGTATTTTTCTTTGTTCTCTCTCCTAAGACGTTAGTGCTTTCAGCCGCCGTGGGTGCATCCCCGTGGCTTGTCCATTGCGGGTGAAAGGCATTCACTGTATTTTGGAGAGTTCTTCCTTGCGTCTTTGACTTGGTATCTGTTAGTGGAGCTACTCCTCGCGGCTAACGAAACCAACCGAAGATTGTATTTTGCTGTTCTTACCCTGTAGTGCCACGTGTGCTAGCGGTGAATATTTGTCTTCTTTCAAGCTTGTAATTTGCTATTACTTGTCTTGAAGTGTCTTGCGTACACGAGAATTTAAAGACCGTTTCGCATGAGGAGTTATCGGTACTTCTGGTTTCTTTGTTAAATGCTGAACTGTGGTGCTTCGGATGCTGGCCATCAATATCTCTTCTTCTTTAACCTCCTTTCTTGGTGAAATCCGGACGTGACCCGGCTCAGCTGTTTGGGAACGGATGGGGAAATCCAATGAAAAGAAGCGTAAGGTGAAGAAAAAGCAATCACCAAAAAAAGTTCTTGCAGACCGAACAAATCCAAAACGTATTAGCGTGAATGATGTTGATGTTATTCCTGATGTTGAATGTCTGTTGGATGATAGTGGTGAAGCCATTCTCCAAATATCACCTACAGACTCCCCTTCAAGGAATGCCCTCCAGGTGTGTGATGAAATGCCAGAACCAACAGAGGCTGAATCCTGTACTTTGGGGGAGGATGATTCAGTCACAGAGGATAATACTGAAGGAGGTAAGGTTCCAGAAACATCGAAGAACCACAAGGATCAAGTTAAACCTTGGGCAAACTTGTTTAAAGATAACAGATGCCCTTCTCGTGGGTTCAATTTAAAATTTGTAGCCCCATCTGAACAAGACGATGTGGCTCTGGATGAAGATGATATAATCCCATTGTCAGGGAGTTGGAAACACAGCCTTGTGGGTTATGTGGCTGGAAGGTTTCCGGGAAAGAAAGCTATCCTAGAAACGTGCAAAAAATGGGGAGTCAAGTCATCCTTTATAACTCATGCGAGTGGATGACTCATATTCAAATTTGATAATGAAGAAGACATGACCAAGGTCCTTGCTTCAGGTCCTTACTTCATTTTTCAAAGACCTTTGCTACTAAAAGTGATGCCTCCTCTGTTTATGTTTGGCTCAAAGGAATTGAGCAAAATACCGGTTTGGGTTCAACTCAAAAACCTGCCATTGGAGCTTTGGAATCCAATGGCCCTGGGTAAGATCCTCTCCAAAGTTGGTACTCCCATTAGGACTGACCAACTTACTGCCTCAATGCAATCTGTTTCCTTTGCAAGAGCCCTTGTTGAAGTAGATGTGGCTGTGGACATGGAGTATGAGGTCAGATGCAGGTTGCCTGATGGCAGCACCTTCTTTCAAAGCATCGAATATGAGAGCCTTCCCTCATTCTGTGATCACTGCAAGATGACTGGCCATAATGTGGCTAAATGTAAATCTGTTCCCAAAAAGATTGATCCCATTCAGCAGCCTCATCCAGAGGCCAACCCAACTCATTGTGATGAGGAAGTGCCACAGTCCCCCCACTCTCAGCCTTGCCCCTCTCCTTTGGTGCAGGAGATTGTAGGTATTGCATAACCAGATTTGGCTGTCTCAACAAACAGAATTGTGGAAACCAGCAAGTCAGGGGGTCTAGATCAGCAGCTGGTAACTGGAGATTGCAATCTTACTATTGCTTCCTGCTCTGATCCAATATCCAACTTCGAAGTTCCAGGTGAAGAATTCACCATGGCAGTGTCTAGAATCAGGAAAAAGAAACAAAAAGACAGCATCTCTCTTGCGAAGGAATCTACTAAGAGGCCTCTTTTCAAAGCAGGCAAGAAGAATAACAATCTTTCACCACTCTGTGCGGGGGACTCAAACCCCCATGCAAAACAATGATTGTAGCCTCGTGGAATATAAGAGGTTTTAACATGCCTCTTAAGCACCAAGGGGTGCAGCATTTTTTGCACAAAAGAAATGTGGATGTTCTGGCCATACTGGAAACCAAGCTCACTGCTAACTTGGTAGACAGCATTATGAACCGAAAGTTTGGGAGCTGGAAATGTATACATAACCTGGCTTCTCATGGTGCAGGCAGGATTGTAATAGTGTGGAGACCTCAAAAAGTGGAATTGACTGTACTACAAAGCAATGCTCAGATTATTCACTGTAATTTGCTCGATAAGAATTCTGGGAAGAATGTTTTTATGTCTTTTGTATATGGTCTTCACTCAATTACAGCAAGGAGAGCTTTGTGGCTAAACTTGCAGAGCATAGGTGCAAATCTGAACTCCCCTTGGCTAGTACTTGGTGATTTTAACAGCATCCTGTGTGCTGATGACAAGATCAATGGAACTGCAGTATCAGCTTATGAAACCCGTGACTTTCTTGATTGTTGTCTTGAGACAGGTTTGTCAAACCTCAATAGCCATGGTTCATACTTTTCTTGGACAAATGGCAGGGTTTGGAGCAAGCTTGATCGGGTGCTATGCAACAGTTTTTGGTCAATTGATTATCCTAGATCTTCCTATGAAGTTCCTGGTTTTGAAACTATCTCAGATCACTCTCCAATTATTGTGTCTACGGATTCACACTTGGTGAGAGGCAACGTGTCATTCAAATTCCATAACTCAGTTTCTGGTTTACCTGAGTTCCTGCCTACTGTAGCTGAAGGCTGGTTACTGCAAGTATCAGGCAATAAGATGTACATTGTGTGCAAGAAATTAAAGGGGCTTAAGACTCCTCTCAAACAGCTCTACATCAACAACTTCAGCAAGATTTCGTATAGAATTGAAAAGGCAGAATCTGAATATAACAAGGTTATCACTTCTCTTCAATCCAATCCTAAGGAGCTGCATTGCTTGGTTTAGCTGATAGGACTAGGCAGGATATTATTAATCTTCGCAAAGCTGAGGTTAGCCACATTTCTCAGATGTTGAAGAGCAAATTCCTCATTGATGCTGACAAGTGCTCGAAGTTTTTTCATAGCTACATCAATAGCATAAGGCACCACAAGTTTATAGCTGCCATTCATTCAGCCGAAGGTGAATCCCTAACATCCCAGAATGCTATTGCAAATGCTTTTGTTAGCCACTTCACAGATTTGTTAGGGACTGTGAAACAAGTTGATTCTGCCTCTAGTAGTATTGCTAGAAATGGCCCCAAGGTGCCTCATCATTTTTTCGATAAGATGCTGGGCCCCATCTCAAAAGAGGAAGTTTGGAAAATTGTGGCTGATTTTGATGATAACAAATCTCTTGGCCCGGATGGATTTAATGCAAAATTTTTCAAGGCATCTTGGGATATATTGGGAGATGACATTTTTGCTGCTGTCTTGGAGTTCTTTGAATCGGGTAAGCTGTTAAAGCAAGTTAATCATGTTATAATAGCTCTGATTCCGAAATATGCCAATGCATCTATGGTCAACCACTTCAGACCCATATCTTGCTGCAATGTTCTTTACAAGATCATTTCGAAAATCCTGGCTAACCGAATGGGTCCTGTTCTGGAAAATATTATTGGTCCATTCCAATCTGCCTTTGTGAAAAATAGAAGCATGAATGACAACATTTTCCTTGTCCAAGAGCTCATAAGGAAATATGCTAGGAAGAGGGTGTCTCCTAGATGTTTACTAAAAATTGATTTGCATAAAGCATATGACTCCATCTCTTGGGATTTTCTGAAGTGCATGATGCTGGAGCTTGGCTTCCCTTTGAGGTTTATTGGTTGGATTATGGAGTGTGTATCTTCTACCTCCTTTAGCATCACAGTAAATGGCAGCATCCATGGGTTGTTTAAAGGAAAAAGGGGGTTGAGGCAAGGAGACCCTTTGTCTCCATATCTCTTTGTACTTTGTTTAGAATATCTATCTAGGGACTTGTCTTCCTTGGGTTTGAACTCTGATTTCAATTTTCACCCAGCTTGTAATGCCTTGAAGATCTCTCACCTTGCTTATGCAGATGATATTATTCTTCTTTCAAGAGGTGATATCCACTCGGTCACTACCATATTTTCCAAGCTTCAACACTTTTGTAATATGTCAGGATTACTTATTAGCAATGAGAAATCAGCTTGCTACTCGGCTGGGATTCAGCAGCCTGATTTGGATTTGATACTTAATCTGACTGGCTTCCCTCTAGGCTCGTTTCCCTTTAGATTCTTGGGAGTTCCTTTGTTAGCATCAAGATTGAACATCTGTCACTATGATCCCCTCATTGTCCAGATCACAGCTTTAATTCAAGAATGGAATAGGAAGTCTTTGTCATACGCCGGCAGATTGGAGCTTGTAAGAGCTGTAATTCAAGGCATTGCAAATTTCTGGCTTGGTATCTTCCCCCTCCCCATTTTTGTCTTACAAAGGATTAATGCCTCATGTAGAAATTTTTTGTGGGGCAAGGCTGAGGAAGGTAAAAAGAAGCCACTTGTGGCTTGGTCCACCGTCTGCACACCCAAGGAGGAAGGTGGTCTGGGACTATTCTGTCTTAAAACATGGAATAATGCTCTTATGGCTAGAACCTTATGGGACTTCCACACTAAAAAGGATTCTCTTTGGGTGAAATGGATCAATCACTATTACTGAAAATCTGAGCATCTGGGAGTGCAGCGCCTCTCCATCACATTCGGTTTTTATGAAGAGGATCATCCTCATTCGAGATTTCATTGCAAAAAAGGAAAACAGTCATTTTAATGCTGTAGAAGTGATGCAGTCCTGGGTAGTGGGCAGCAAACTCAGCGCTAGTAGAGCCTATGAGTATATGAGGCATCCGAATTTAATGGTTCCTTGGAGGAAAGTCGTTTGGAATGCAGCTATCCCCCCAAAGATGAGCTTTATCTTTTGGTTGGCGGTCAATAATAAATTACTCACTCTTGACAAGGCTCCTTTTTTGAACAAAGGGCAAACGTGCTTCATTTGCAAATCTAATTTGGAGACAAATGCACATTTATTTTTCTCTTGCCCTCTTGTGTTACAGGTTTGGTCAGCAATTAGAGATTGGAGTCTCTTCCCAAGGAGAAATATCTCAATGCATGGACACAATCAGCAAGCTCATTCACCACAGAGGCGTCTCGGGTGTGAAAGGCAAACAAAGATGCTTGGCTTTGGCAACTACTGTATATTGCATTTGGCTTAGTAGAAATAGTGCAATTTTTTATCATGGGTCCTTTATTGTAAAAGATGTAATTGATAAGATTCAGTTTCTTGTATATAGGCACTCGCATCTTACCCATTTGTATTAGGCATATGTTCTTAGTGGTCTAGCTTTTTCTAGCTTTTGCACTAGGATCATTTGTTGTTGTTAGCCTCATTTTTTTGAATTGCGGGGTATGCCCCAGCTATATTGTATCACTTTGATTCACTTTGGGTTTAATATATATTTACATTTTTCCCAAAAAAAAGAAAGAGCTCTCAGTCAGCTCTCAGTCTTCTCTCTCCTAGGGCGTTTTCTCTGTTCTCTCTCCTTCGGATTGCATCTCTTTCAGCCGCCAAGGGAGCTTCCCTGTGGCTTGGCCATTGTGGGTGAAAGGGGATCAACCATAGTGGGAGGCTTTTCTGATTTAGTTTGGTTTGTTTCTTGGGGATTGTGATATTCATATCATCTCGTGGCTGTGAGTTTCAAGCGGTGGAGGTTTGGTCCTATTGTTCCAATCTGATTTGGAGTTAATAGCGCTAGTACAGCAAGCCACGCGTCTAGCTTTCCAAGCGGTGAGATTTGTTTGTCTCTCACTTCTGGGTCCGCGTGGAAGGTGCCATATAAAAGAAGTGGTTTCTTCATCTAATGAACCATTTCTTATATATTGGTCCTTGTCTATTTCGTTAACCTCCATCCCTGGAGTCCTCGGTTGTGACCCAGCCTTGTACTTTGGGATCTGATGAATAAAGTTAAAGAAAAGAGACGTAGCAATGCAAAAAAGAAACAAGCTTCCAAGAACCGGGCCATCGATGGAACAGTTTCTAAATGCAAAGGCAGTGTAAGTACTGATGTGTTAGAGGATGTTGGATCCTTCCATATTGCTTTAGTCGATGTGGGAACTATGCCTGTTGATGTTGGTGAATCGGCTGAACCAGCATCTCCCACAGCTTCTAAGTCAGAAGATGCACTCCAAGTGTTTGATACTTATCCTGAGCCAACTGAGGCAGAATCGTGCACTCTTGGGGATGACGATTCTGTTACAGAGGACATCCCAGAGATTGGAAATGCTGGTGCAACTCCCAATCACACTATTGATCCTTCCAAACCTTGGGCTAATTTGTTCAAGGATAATAGAGTGCCTTCGAATGGGTACAGCTTGAAGTTCACAGCCCCCAGTGATGAACAAGATGTTCTGTTTGACGAGAATGATATTCAGCCACTTACAGGAAGTTGGGAACACAACCTAATTGGTTATGTGGCAGGGAGGTTCCCAGGGAAAAAAGCTCTGTTGGAAACGTGCAAGAAATGGGGTGTTAAATCATCCCTCATAACACATGTAAGTGGTTGGCTTATCTTCAAGTTTGACAATGAAGTCGATATGATCAAGGTTCTTTCTTCTGGGCCTTATTTCATTTTCCAAAGACCTTTGTTGTTGAAAGTGATGCCACCTCTCTTCATGTTCGGTTCCAAGGAATTAAGCAAAATTCCTGTTTGGGTTCAACTCAAGAATCTGCCATTGGAGCTTTGGAATCCGTCGGCTTTGGGGAAGATCCTATCTAAAATTGGGATTCCCATTAGAACGGACCAGCTCACTGCTACAAGGCAATCCATCTCTTTTGCTAGAGCTCTTGTGGAGGTGGATGTTGCTTTGGATTTGGTGGATGAGGTGAAATGTAAGCTCCCAGATGGCACTACCTTCTTTCAAAACATTGTTTATGAAAGCTTGCCTTCCTATTGCAGCCATTGCAAAATGATAGGACATGATTTAGCAAGGTGTAAAGTGGCCCCTAAAAAGGACATGCAACAGCCTGAGATTGAAGTCCAAGTGGCCCAGCCAATTCACAATGAAGATACTGTTCCAGAATCTCCTCTTTCTATGCCTATCCCCCTTGTGCAGGAAGTGGTTCCCATTTCGCAGGATCAATTGGGTATCCCAATTGATAAAACAGTCAAGGCTTCCAAGGCAGGGGTTTCTATGCCTGATGAGCATGATGACCCGCAGCGGCCAATTGATGTGGGCAATCCAACTCCTGCGTCTTGTTCGGATCCAATCTCCCAACCTGACCCCCCAATGAAGGATTCACACAAGCTATCTCTAGAATCCGTAAGAAGAAACAGAGAGTCAGTAAGACCCTCCCAAGGCAAATGTTAAAGAATCTGCTGATTAAAGCAATTAAGAAGAGTCACACTCATCCAACTCATTCTGTTGGGGATTCATCTCCCCATACAGCCCGATGATTGTAACATCATGGAATATAAGAGGCTTTAATATGCCTCTAAAGCACCAAGGGGTGCAACACTTCCTCCGCAAAAGGGGAGTTGATGTTTTGGCTATTCTCGAGTCCAAGTTATCTTCTCACTTGGTTGATCAAATCGTAAAAAGAAAATTTGGGGGTTGGAAGTATTATCACAATTTCTCTTCTCATTTTGCTGGTCGAATTGTTATTCTATGGAAGCCACAAAGTGTGACCGTTTCTGTCTTGCAAAGTACAGCCCAACTAATACATTGCAAGCTCTTGGATAACAATTCTGGGAAAGAGGTGGAGCTCTCATTTGTTTATGGAATGCATTCCATTATGGCCAGGAGAGCATTATGGAGCAACCTTCAGATTATTGGGACAACTATGAATTCTCCATGGCTCATCCTAGGGGATTTCAACAGCATTCTTTGTCCCTCGGATAAGCACAATGGAAGTGCAGTTACAGCCTATGAAACTGCTGATTTTCAGGACTGCTGCAATGAGCTTGGGGTCACTAATCTCAACAACCATGGTTCTCATTTCACTTGGACCAATGGCAGAGTTTGGAGTAAGCTAGACAGAGTTCTTTGCAATCAGCTTTGGTCTAATGAATTTCAGTATTCTAGCTACCACACCCCAGGATTTGAATCTATTTCTGACCACTCTCCCATCATTGTATCTTCGGGTTCTGCTTTGGGAAGAGGCAATGTTTCTTTTAAGTTCCATAATTCTGTAACTAGCTTCCTTGTTTCTTGCCAACAGTAAGTGATGGCTGGAAGCACCAGGCTGCGGGTAACAGTATGTTTGTAGTTTGCAAGAAGTTGAAGCATCTTAAGGGTCCATTAAAACGGCTGTACACTCAGAACTTCAGCAAGATTTCTGGCAGAATAGAGGAGGCTGAAACCGAATACAACATTGTCCTAGGGTCCCTCCAATTGCATCCGAATGAGCCAGCTTTACTTGGTTTAGCTGATAGAAGTAGAAGGGATATTATAAAGTTGAGAAAGGCTGAGGCCAGCCACTTTGCGCAGATTTTGAAGAATAAATTCCTCTTGCAAGCTGATAAATGTACAAAGTATTTCCATGATTTTATTAGCAGCAAGAGGCACCAAAGATGCATTTCTGCTATTCACACAATTGATGGTAATGTTCTCATCGCACAGTGAGATATTGCTCAAGCTTTTGTGAGTCATTTCAAGGATTTATTGGGGGTGGAAAGACCTATTCAGCATGCGTCCTTCCCCATAATGAACAATGGTCCCAAAGTGTCTGCTGATTGGTTTGGTTCTCTGCTTGGCCCTATCTCAAAAACTGATGTATGGAATGTGGTAGCTGGGTTTGACGATAACAAGTCCCCAGGTCCAGATGGTTTCAATGCTAAATTTTTCAAGGAGTCTTGCATTGGTGATGATATCTTTGCAGCTATTTGCGAGTTCTTTGTTTCGGGTCAGCTGTTAAAGCAAGTGAACCATGCCACTATTGCCTTGATTCCCAAATCGGATAATGCCTCATCTGTTAACCATTACAGGCCAATCTCATGTTGCAATGTCCTTTACAAGATCATAGCCAAAATTCTTGCTAACCGAATTGCCCCTGTTTTGGAACAAATTGTTGGTCCATTTCAATCTGCTTTTCTGAAAAACAGAAGCATGAATGACAACATTTTTCCGGTTCAAGAAATCATCCGAAAGTAGGCTCGGAAGAGGGTCTCTCCAAGATGCTTATTGAAGATTGATTTGCATAAGGCCTATGACTCCATTTCCTGGTCCTTTTTGCGATGTATGCTGGCTGAGTTGGGCTTTCCCATCCATTTTATTGGTTGGGTTATGGAATGTGTTTTATCTACATCCTTCAGCATAGCAATTAATTGATCAATATATGGAATGTTCAAAGGTAATAGGGGGCTAAGACAG